GGGGGTCCCTGAGGGGGGGGTCACTACCTTTCAGGGAGGTCTCCACCAGGCGCAGGTACAGCTGGCTCTGCTTGTTGCCGTGGCTCATGCGCTGGCCCAGCCCGTCGCGCTGCAGCACGCACTCCTCGAAGCGCACCACGTTGGGGTGGCGGCGCCGCAGGCTGGTCAGGGCCCAGAACTCGGCCAGCGCCAGCTCCACGTTCTCGGGCGCGTCGCAGCGGATCCGCTTGACGGCCAGGCGGGCGCCGCTGCGGCCCGACACGGCCTCGTACACCACCCCGTAGGAGCCGCGCCCGATCTCCGCCACCAGGCTGTAGCGCGGCGCCCCGGCCCCGCCGCCCGCCGCCGGCTCCATGGGGCCCCTCAGCGCCGGGCCCCGCTCCCGCTCCGGCCGCCGCCTCCGCTCGGCCGCGGGCCTTTGTGTCCCTCTGCGGCCGCCGTCCGCCGCGGCCGTTTCCATGGCTGCTCCGCCGCGTGGGGCCCTGGCTGCTGCCGCCCGGGACCCCCACTCCTCATCCCTCCGCCCGGGGCGCGGGGAGCATAGGCCACCTCCGGGAATCGGAGCCTGCGAACGACACCAGCCCGACAGGCAGGGATTGAGACAGGGGACGTGGGACTAAGTCGGAGGACAGAAAAGCGCGCCCTGCCTGCCCCTTTAAGGGCTGAGCCAATAGCGGCTGCCGAGGCAGGGGAGGCCGAACCATTCTGGGGGGGAAAGGGAGGAAAGAAAGGGGTCGCCCACCCCAAACGCCTCCAAGACAAACAGGAGCCGTTGGTTCCACGGGCAGCTCGACAAACGCCAATTAAAAATCCTAGTGGGGCATTACTAGCCTTGCCAAGCGTTACCATTGGCTCCGCTCCCAATCCATTGCCTGGGTCCCCCCCCCGTTTAGAATGGTTTGTCCCCCGAAGTGTAAACACTCCATCGCTGGCTGCCGGGAGTTGGGAGAGTCCATTATGCACCAAGGGGAAGGGGAGAGAGGAATCGCTCATTTACCTGTCTCCCTCCCTGCCCGTGTAAAGCCCACGCGGCTGGGCCTGGAGCCGCTGCCGGGCACGGGGCGGAGCTGCTGCTGCAGGGCTCCCACCGGGCGGGGCGGGGCTGGGGGCGCTGAGAGGCGGCGGCTGCTGCCGCGCTCCCCCCCTCCGGCTGGGGTCGGGGCGCTGCGCGCGGACAATGTGCCTGAGCGGCGGCGGCGGCTGGGATAAGAGCCGGGGCGCGACAGCCCCCTTACGTAACCCTTATGTAACAGCGGCCGGCTCCGGGCGGGGGGAGGGGAGCCCTTCATCCTCCCTCCGGCGCGCGGGGGCGCGGCTGGCAGTGGCTGCAGTGCCGGCATGGGGGGTGTGAATGGGGGAGGGGTGTGCAGTGCCGGGATGGGGGTGTGAATGGGGGAGGGGTGGGCAGTGCTGGGATGGGGGGTGAGGGGTGTTAAAGGGAGGGCTGGGTAGTGGGGGTGGTAAATGGGGGAGGGGTGGGCAGCAGCGTGATGGGGATGTGAAGGGGGAAATTGAGGCTGGGCAGTGAATGGGGGAGGAGTGTGCAGTGGCAGCATGGGGAAACAGGGAGCTGCGCAGCTGCAGCAGGAAGGAGTGTTTTGTCTTGGGGGTGGTTATGCTGCAGCTGCATGGTGGGGGTAATAAACCAGAGGGTGGGGGCTGTGCATCAGTCTGCAGGATTTGAAGTAGGCAGGTGCTGTGATGAAGCCGTGTGGGGATAGGATCTTGGGGGCTTTGTACGGTAGCATGGGGGAAGGGTTAGTTGGGACAGGGCTGTATGCCCGGCTGTAAGCTCTGTGTTGTTAGGTGAAGTGTAGCAAAAGATAGTTTCTCTGCCCTGAATAGCTCAATGTTGAAGAGCTCCATGTGTCCGGTACAGTATGGTACAAGAAGAAACACACACACCGCGCCAGGCTCTTTGAGAGAGGAGAGGAAAGAGCTTGATTTATATTAATTGGGAGGCCGTATCCATATTTACAGATACCATGGGGAGTTTTCTGTGGCTTTTAATCTCTGCTGGGACTTTCTTAGGGTGAAATGACAAAAACCAAACAGTACGGAAAGGGAGGGAGTCCCATTGTTGTTATGTATAGTATAAAATACGCAATATTTGAATTTGTTTAGCTGCACCTTCTCAAAATCCTCCTTAGTGTGCACTAGTGTACATAGCTTTGTCTCATCAACAGCTTGCTAGTTACTGCTTTCTCGAAGCCATTAGTAAATAGTTGTGGACACAACACCACTTCCAGGGATATCCCACTGAGAGCGTCTCAGTCTACACTGAGGGGAAGCTGTTGGTTAATTGATGAACTGTGGAGGTCACGTTTTGGTTTTGGTTTTGTAATCCCCAAAGCCAGAGGTGATTCAGATCAAGTCCAATTTTATCTAAATCATCACAGTTTTTTTTAAAGAGGATGGTAGAGTCTGGCTCAAAAAAATCAGTTTTGGTCCATCTCTATTATTCGTATTTATGCAATGCCGTAAATGCGTGTGGTTCTTTATCAAACAGTGAAAGACTGAGGCTGAACTCTTTAAGGACACATAGGATTTGGAGGCATAACTCGCACTCATTCCAATGGGAACTGTGTCTAAACCCCTAGATGGCTTTGAAAATCTCAGCTTGGGTCCATGCCTTGAAATGCTTGTGGTTTAAAGGTAAGAACAGGAGGAGAGGACAGACCCAGAAGCTGGGGAAGACAAGGATGATAGCAGTGCAGATGAGTGATGTGTGGATTTTAAGGTTTACATAGCGGTTCGTTTCTTGACAAGTGTTTTTCATCCACACCAGGAATTAGCCTCTGAGACTGGTATTATCAAACGTTTCATAAAGCCTACAGACATTGGGTCAAATCCAGCTGTAGCTTCGCTGAAATATATGCGGGACTTTAAAATCTGCAGCAGTTTTGGCCCTTCGATGTATTCTTGAGCATAGATATTGTAGCACTAGACTGACTCATTGGAACCACTAATTTTTACTACCATATATTGTAGTCTGTTTCTAGAGGCTGAGAGAGAACATTTCTGGACCATCAGATAAACTTCTGAACATGTTTGCTACGCAATGCATTGCTACAGCAGTTCCCAACACCCAACAAATGCAGTTTGCAAAGGCCTGCATTGTCCCAGTGAATCCTGATTGTAGTTTAGTGACACCTGGTCAGCCATTTGACTGTGTGCTGCTGCAAAGTCTGTCCCATAACTAACTTCATCCAATCATTTGCTAGGTTCAAATGCCATAGTTTCATCTGACAAAGTTAAACGAATGTCTGCTCCCCGTGGCCAGCTTGTTGGGATTTAATAACCTTTTTTTATTTCAAACAGAAAATTCCTTGCGAATGTCACTGATCGTGAACCCGAAGCTTTAATTCTGCCCAGTGTTATTTCGCTCAACTTTGGAACAGCTCATTCTGGTGCTTTGGGTTTCCAGGCTTGCGATAAAGAGAGATTCGTTGCTAGGGCTTCTTAAAGCAAAATAAACTGTTTGAGATGGCTGCTCCTTGCCAGCAATACAGGATTTAAAGCAGCACCCATCCCTATTACACCTTGTATCACAGGGCGTGGCATGGGGTCAGCGATCTGCCTGAATCAGTCGAGTTCATCATATTAAGATTAAGCAGTGAAACCCAAGAGTTAATTGGTTTGACACCTCTGTTGGGTGATAGCTTGCCAGTAAATAAATCCAGTACTTAATACACTTGGAGGCACAGCGGAGGCTCAAGAGCTCTGACAGCTATTTGGGTTATATTAAAAAAACAAACCCAAAGATAATTACTAAAGAGTCAAAGAAACATCTGTGAGTCTTCATCTGTAATTACTTCCAAGTCTGTATTCTGCCTTGCAAAACTCTCCTTGATATAAAGAAAATTGAGACTCTCAGGGGGACTCAGTGCATGAGGGGTTGAGTCTGCTGTACTTGTTAACCCTCTGCTCCCAGTTACTGGCCATGTGATTATGGCAAACTTCCCTAATTTCAATCCCTCCGAGTCACTTTTAGCCTGGGGCGGTGGTGACAAACCTGGAATCTGTCCTGGCACCTTTGTTACTAGTGGGACTGAACTTAACTGGGACTGAAGTTGTCAATAAACTGCATTTCCTTAATGCCTCTTTTGTGAGGGTCTCCGAGTGCTTGACAAGCAGCCATACAACTTGTCTACATCACAGGGGTGCGGGTAAGTATCCAGGGCCCAATCCTGTAACCACTTCACTTCGCACAGTACTTCCTACTGTGAATAATCTCATTGAAGTCAGTACAGCTGCTCATGTGAATAAGGGCTTCAGGGTTTGGGTAACTAGAAAAATGAAGGGCAAGACTTATTTGTAGGTGTGCAGAATGCCCCCCTCAGGGCCCATTCGAGGTGCTGCGGGCCCTCTGTTTCCATTGCGGGAGGTGAAAGGCAGTTAGCAGGATGAGGCTCTAACTTGGCTCTCTGTGTTGCTTCGTCACTCCAGACCAACCTAAGTATAACGAGGTTGTTGGGGGGAAATCAAACAATTATTTTTTCATAAAGTGTTGCAAGCAGATATTTGCAATTTCTTTTTGGACCATTACATAACCTCAAATATAACCCTTTCCAGGACTTTTTATATGTGCAAGATGGGCAGTTTTGGCACCAAAACACACAGCCTGGCATAACTTATGATTCTTTGGGACTGAAATTTATTAATTTAAAAATTGTGGGGTTTGCCCCCCAAATTCAAAGCATTTAAAGTGACGACTAGGCTGATTTTTAGCTCCTAAGTGATCATAATTGAGTGGGAGAACATATTCCGTAGACGGCTTTTGCAAAACTGGATCGACACTGTGAGGCTGGAAAAAATGTGAAATAGATTGGGACTGATCCAAAGCTCATCCGTCAAAGTCAGTGTGTCTTTCCATTGACTTCAGTGGGCTTCAGGGGGCCAAGCCCATTTCTGAGAGTCCAAAGTCCATGGTGAGTATCCCTGCACCCACAGTAGCGATCACTGTGAAGTGTATCTCTAGCTGACTGAAAGCTGCCACCTGCTGGGCAACCTCTCCCTGGGAGATCCAGGCCATGTCTTCCAGAAAAGCTTGTGCCAATTCCCCTCTGGGGAAGGTGGGAGATTTGCGGCTCATGGCACACCTCCCCTCTCTTAAGCAAAGTACTTAATATCAAAAGTCAGTGCAAGGTCCACTCCACCCATTCGGTTTCTGGGATGCCGGCGGCCCTGCCAAACCCAGAGCACATCACAGGGCAGCCAGCATGCCAACCAGCTGTTGGGAAGAGGTGGTTTTGTGTTCAGATGGGTGAATAAAATTAACCCTTGGTTCATTCCCAAGCTGCTCTATGGGCCGTAGGTGGTTGGTGGAGGCATGGGAGGGCCTACAGGGTCCCATGGTGCTGCCTCCCCTAGTTTCCAGCTGCTTTTATAGATGTCCATTTGTGGCGTAAAGATGGCTAAAAATGCACGACTGCTCTGATGGGGAGGGAGAGGCTGAAAGAGGACAGTGTAGATGGGCGCTGGGGCAGGGGCTGTTCCAAGTGGAGCATTTCTTCCAGTAGGGGTCAGTTTAGCCTTTAAAGAAGGGCAAAGATGGCAGCACATTTCAAGAGAGAAACAAAAGTGGAGCAGAGCCCGAGGGTTCCAGTCCTGGGGGTCGAGGAGAAGTAGTGATGTTTGGCAAGGGGAAAGGCAGAAGTGAGGGGCTGCAGACCAAACTCCTAGTGGAGGAAGTCTCCAAAGAGTGGGATTTCCTTTTGCACGTCAGCAGCATGTCCAAGGTGACCCAGAGGGATTTATACCCGTGCTCCATATGCAACTGATTCAGGCAGCATGGAACACAATCCTCCTCCCTCCAGGTACACCCGTGGACCATAGCAATAGACATTTATAGGCTCGGCAGATTGCCAAAAAGGGAGGCGTTTTCCTGTGCTCGTTTTGTCAGAGCTCCCTTTCTGATGTGTGCAACTGGCAGGCCAGTGCTTTTATGCCAAGCCCTCCCTCAGTCAGCCACTTAACCTAGGATACTTTGGTAATAACTACTCATAATGATCGCTGGTACGTTGTCCTCTCTTATTTTCTGTCCCTGCCTTGCTTTCCATGAAGCCTGCTAGCACATTGTCCCTTAGATTCCTTCCTGCAAGTTTGCAGATCCTACCACAAAAACTTTTCTTATTAAATAAAGAAAGAGAAAAGCTTCTTTCCCTGCTTTTTTCATTCCTCTTTCCTTTTTTTCCCCTGGGTGACACTGAAGGCCTTTAAAAATGGACACGTAAAGCTG